CCATGTATAAGACACAGACATAGACAAACCTTGGTTAAAATCTAAGCCGCTGAAGTGGACAGGAAATAATTCACTAGTTTCAAGAAATTATAAAAGGCCTTTCGACTTGGCTAACAAGGGCAGCTAATATTACCCTTCTACCTGCAGTATCTTTACAAGACTCTTACACTTTGAGCGCTGCTCTTTTTATGGCAGCTGGGTAAGTGCTTTATGGTGGCACTATAACAGCACGGCGAGTCTCCAAAACATAGCCAAGCACCTTCAGACCACCCTGCTGCTGTCTGCACTCTGACTCCAGTTGCATAAACCTGACCCTTTACTACTTCCGCATTTTATACATAGCAACAGGTGTCATGCAGTCAGCTCTGTTTTTATTTTTAGGGATGTAAATGGAGGATCAGCCCCACAGGGAAGAGTTGAGGTGCGGTTGTTTTGCTGGCGAGAATTCACCCACTGTCACAATTGACATATGGCCATGTGGCGTTGTGCGGAGGTGTGTGTGTGTGTGTGTGTGTGTCGCTGGGCTTCTCAGCAGGGGGTCAGGTGGTTTAATTGGATCAGGACTGTGCGTGTGTGCCGAGCTTCGGTGCGCTGCATTATAACCTGACTGCACTGGTAGAGGAGAGATGAGATCATGGCAGCTCAGTCAGATGTGTTTGTCATTGGGCTGAGCTGCTACCAAGTGCCTGCCTGTGTCTGTGCACGTAGGCAGTAGCGGCAGGGAGGAGTGGAGCTCTGCTCCCTGCTGCTGCACATTAAGGACGTATTGATTCCGATGTATACCTGAACCGATGCTAATCCTCCAGATCAATATTCAGACTTTAGAATTAGATTAGATTAGAGCTGATTAATTACCTCCTGTGCGCTCGATCAGATATCAATACATCAGTATGTCAACAGTCTCCGTTTCATACCAACTAGTTTAACTATTTTGTGTTCCATGCCAAAACCAAGACCCGGTTTTTACTCCAGTACCACGAACCCAGTTTTTATCTGGGCCAAATCATTATCATTAATATCACGTCCTGCCACAGCCCTGTGTCATAGTCATAAAGATTAAAGTAATGATGTAATTAAAAAGTCACAAGTGTGAGTTAAATCGTCACAATTATGACCACAGATACAACAGGTAATGACAAGTTAGTGTCTAAATTACAGTTTGCACACAGGCTTTAATCCTGCCCCGTGTCTTCTCTCACGTCCGCCCTATTCTGGGTCATTGTTAGTGGAAAGAAAGTGTGAAGCACCAGAGTGTGTGCTGCGATTATAACAGAGCACAGGTTACCACACGGGGTCTCGACTGCTCTGCTCTGCTCTGAACTTTTCGCTGCTTTCACTTCCTGTCAGGGTCTTTTTATCTGCTGCTATGCTTCCCTTTGTTCCAAATGATACACCACTGCATAAGGTACACTCCAGAATTATAATCAACTTGGCCTTGAGACATTCAGCGATATCTTCTGCTTTGGGCTCTTTTTCCTCCTGTTTTTCTTCAGTTTATCCTGTTGCATGGATGTGCTTTGTTTTGTTTTTTTTTGCAAATCAGTTCAAAAAGACAAAGTTTAATCATTTTCTTAGTTACTCTCCCAACTTATCTACGCCTGTCTTTGTTGCGTCTCCATTCCTGACCTTGTGTTCAATAAGCTGAGTACTGTAATAGATACTGTGTCTATCTCAGCTTCATACTTGATCCCATTGAGAGCAGGTGTTAAAACCTGCATCGAACGATCTGATCACAAATGTCCATGTGAAGCTTTCAATCAGATCTGATCCTAGGTGTCACCTCGGCACATACGGCAGTGAAATACTTAGATAAAAAGTTTAGTTATCACTACACAGAAATTAGTTGCCTGGGTTATTTTTTTCTCACTAAGAGTGAATTTCAAGCCCTGTTTTTTCAGCGAATTGGTTTTTATCAGAGTAGTCTATTTAAAATGAATTCTTACTAAAATAGTAGATTGTATGTGTAGCATGATGTCAATTTTAGTTCTAAAAAAATGTTAAAAAAAAAGAAAAGTGATGGTATAAGATTTTTGGCCGTAGTGTCGCATGAGTGTCCATGTCTGGCCTTTTCTGCAGAATTTGCTCTGGAGCTTAGACCTCTCTCTCTCTCCCTTTCTCACCTCTCACTCACTGTCTCTATCTGTTTTTCCCTCCTTTTTTCTTGCAGCCACTGTGTGCCTTGCTCAGAGAGAAGAAAGCGCTTGTTTGTGCAGGACCCTCTCACCTGTATATGCTCCTGCAAATTCACACAATTAGACTGCAAGTCCAGGCAACTTGAGTTAAACGAAAGAACTTGCAGGTTTGTTTACCATACCTATGACAGAAACAACAGCAACAATTTAAAAAAAAAGTAATGCAATCATTCTCTTTATTTCCCGGATTTTGCTTCATCTCGCCGCCATTTCCTGTCTCTGGCTTGGATGGATTTATGTTTCACCTGCTTAGAAAAAATGCATGCTTCTCCACGCTGTGTGACGTGCAGTCGGTGTTTGTCCTCGAGAACGTAGCTCGGCTGTCGTTGTGTCTTGTTGAATATCAGAATAGAGAGATGTCTTGTGACTGTGATTGAAGTGTGTTCTTAATCCCTGTTAGTCTGTGCTGTCGTCCAGGTCAATGTCATCCTTAGATGATAGGATGTACTCAGCTGGAGTTGTTTGGGTGACAGAAGTAAATCCATGAGATTTCTCCACTATTTACAATCAGAATATATTCTATCCCTAAAAAAAGTTACATTTTCAGGGGGATTTTGGATGAGTTGTAAAATATATTGAAGAAACTCAAGCAAGTCAAGTGGCACAATGTCATCTCCTGAGAATCCGAGTCCTCGCTGTGTCCTCGGGCCGAAGAAATGTCTGTGTATTGTATTCACAGTGATCAGATCGAGATCATAAAATGTTAATATTGAGTTTGCAATAATTTATTCACTACCTCATGTGTCAGTAATAGGAGTTTCCATGACAGTCCCTCCTGACTCTGTTACACTCTTTGCCTCAGTGTTGAGTGCAGACACTAAGCCCATACATAGAAGCAGGAGACTGCCATCCTTAATTAACAAGACTGCGTTTCATGACCCCCACTGACCCGGCCCCCTTCATGGCCTCTGACCCTCTCAGGGCCCCCCACACTGCTGCTTTGGATTTAGGGAACTGCACACTTTTGGGTGTGTGGGGCGGTAAGGGGGAGGGTTAGTACAGACAAAATTCAGTCTAACGGGGGAGGTGGGGGGGTCTTCTCACCGACACAACTCAACTGCACAACCAAAGACTGTTGATGATTTGTTAATTCAGCCGCACGTTCAGTTATAGTTGAATAATTAGCAGAGGCTGCATCATTGACAGCAGACATTAAAGCATGAGGTGCAGAACACTGACACAGAACGTCACCCCAACATGAACCATCTCCGTTAAACCTCTCTGTCCCGCTGTCCAACGTCTGCATGGTGTGTTGAGCCAACACTGAGATTGAAATGGCCAAAGTCCTGTTTAACCATGGTTTCATCTCTCCTTCCACAGATGTGAGAAACCACGGAGGTGAGACCAGCAACACTGTTATGAAGGAATCCTTTTCTTAGCACAGCACTTTGAAACCCGAGGATGCATTCCCTGCAAGGACATAAAACGACAACGCAAGACAAGACATGTTGGACATCAGATTTTCCCACTGTCTGTTTTCCGCCTAAGGATATTTATATATATATATAAATATTTATATATATATATTTATATATATGTATGTAAATAGACTATAAGTACCTTGACAATGTGTAATGCTGCTACATGAAGATATTTAAAACCGTTAAACGACTACGCCACCGGCGTGCGAATGGGAAATGTCTCAGTAGTGTTCTGATCGTGGGTGGAACTGGGAGAAGAAATTTCATTATTTTATATCTAACACTTCACTGGATGCTGGTCTGCTGTGGACGCGACTCTTGAATATTTCTGAGTGAAAAAAAAAAACAAAAAACTGGCGATCACGACCCTCACACAGCAGAGGCCATGTCTGCTTTTTGGACAGAAAAGACTGATGAGGACAGAGCGGCCTGGAGGACTTGGACTTGGACAGCCTTATAATGAGACATAATGGGAGGTTTGGTTTCCACTATACGGACATGTGGTGTGTGATCACACTGAGAGTGTCTGTCTCTCTCTCTCTCTCTCTCTCTCTCTCTCTCGTTCTCTCTCTCTTTTACTGTAGACTGAGGATAATGTGAACATGACACTCTATTCCTAATGGAAGGGTTACATTATTATTAATCTCTGCACAGAAATGCACAAGTCTGAAGGTGTGGGAGAAAATCTGGGCCCTGAGCAGGTGGATTACTCCCGCTGCAGGTATAAAAGCATACAGTAACTGTAAAAAACAAAAAGCTACTTTTTAAAAATTGTTTATATTTTAATACAAAAACATGCAGAGACTGGCCCATAACCTGTTGGTCCTGGAGAAGAATCATCTTCAATGAAATTCTATTGCTTGTAGCTGTTTGAACTAGAGCTGTCTTGTGATTCAAATACCAAACATCCATTGAAGCATGGAAATCAAATCAATTAGAGTTCGCACACGGTAACTCTGCAAATCCTCAAATACACCTTTGTCTTCGTAAGCGGAAGGCAAAGAACAGCGAACTGAAGCAGTGACGTCTCAAAAACCATGTGACTCAACACTTTAGTTGAAACGCAACACTAGGTGTCAACAACACCTAAAGGCCAAGAGGTCACGAATTAGTCATTTAAACTGGATTTAAACAGCTCTAATTTACATGGGTTCAATGAAATTGTTGACCCGAAAAGATTCAAAATACTGTCTGTCATTAATTTATCATCATCCTAGTCCATCTAGGTACAGGTCAAGCACGATTAGGGTTAAACATATGGGGCACTGTCTTTGTTCCTTCATCCTCTGTGTAACCCTTACCTGGTGGGAAAATGTGTCTTATTTTTACTCTAGAGTTTATTATTTGAGGTTATGTGTTTTTTTGTTTGTTTTTTTCATAAAACTTGAGAGAGCAGACCGTCTAAAGGGATCTTTACTGTAGGTATGTACAAAAGAAGACGAAACGTGACAAACTGATCTGGGAACAGATCAGAACCTCACTGTACAAAACCACAACCTTCCAGTTTCCTTATTTAATGGCTTTGTGCGTGTTCCAAAGAAAGAGAGCAGTTCATCGTTGATCTGGATCAGTAGATACCTCTCTGTCCAGTACACTACATCTAATTTATAGAATATTTTCAGTATTCTTGATTATATAATATTTAAATGCAGTGTTGTATTTTTATTCTCTTTGTTCATATCCCTCGAATGTTTTCTGTATGTCTGGAGATTGAATGGAGAAAAGTTATTGACTGTGACTTCTTTCTGGACGGGAGGGGTCTGAGAGACAATGCTTTGACATTCCTGATCGAAACTAAAGCTGTGTTTCACACCAGCCCGAGCGGTCTAACTGACCGATAGAAACCCCACTCCAACATGTGTGGGAATGATGTGCCAACACAGATGTTTTTCATTTCGGATCCGGGGCGATGGACATGTGGTTTTGCAGTCTTTTCGGAGCCCAACCCACATTGTATTGTAAAGCAAGTCTTGTTGCTCAGCTAGAATCCTAATTTAGTGCAGACTTTCTGATCAGACTGAAGCCTCCTGTCTGAGGCTGCATTGATTCCTTTACTTTTTAACTTTGAACATTTAATCTGAAGAACTGCCACGAAAGACAAAGACAAAAGTATTTGTCTATATTTGTGTAATACCTGCCCAGAGGGTATAAGGTTGAGGGTCCAAATTCTGCGCTTTAGCGTTAGCTACTGTGATAAAGTCTGATTGGAAGTTGTTGCAGATTTAATCATAGAGCCAACTGTGCTTTTAACTTGGGCATAGGTGTCAATATGTGCCAACCAAGACTATCAGTCTACGAGGGCACCTGGTTGGGTTATTTGGGCTGCATGAGTATAAAGTGGCTTTGGTAACATATGGTTCCCTGCACATGCTGGCAGTCAATTCATGCATGGCCTACTCCAAATCTGCAGGCAAACTCGTAGAGAGAGTAGTCTTTATTAGTCGTTCGTATTGATGAGCCTAAATGACTTGGAAAAACTGTTACAATCCTAAAAAATACTAATACAAAGTGGGATGCAGCCTGTTACAGTGCCCATGGTAGACTGGTATCAAAGAGTCTGATGATACAGGGACAAAAACGAAGCATTATTATTATTATTATTATTATTATTATTATTATTATTGACTGAAAAGAAAATATAGAATTTGACACAGTTTTGATCTTACTATTGCCTACTACTATTTCACTGGTCGCATCATGAACTGCATAAGTGTGATGTCTATGTTAGCAATACTCCAAAAATACTGACAATATTTTTGTCTGTCTTCGTGGCCTTTCTCATGAAGGACTAAACTGCACTAGCAAACGTTTGGCCCAAATCCTTATTAACAAAACTGCTCCAGAGAAAAAAACTTTTTTTCTTTCCACGTGTGCTACCTGTGTGTTTGTGCTGGCACCATCTGCCCCACAGCTGTTCACGTGAACTGCCCTCCCACCCCTGCTGCCACCCTAAAACTGTAGGCCTGAGACACTCGCTGCTGCCTCCGAGCCCATGTCTTTCCACTCCTCTCATGACGACAACATTCTGCTTAAACCTAAATTACTTTTTTTTTCCTTGAGATTGTACAGCCACAATGTTTTTTTGTTTTTGTTTTGGTATATTTTCACATTAATATATATTTATTGTTGCTTACATTTTACAGTACCCTTTTTTGTTGTTTCTAATGTAACTATTAAAATGTATTTATTTTGAAAATACAATGTGTCTTTTTTTAAATTAACAAATGTCTAGTTTGAGCTCATTATTCTCTGTAATGTAAAAAACAAGTTAAAAGCAGGGCCTGGAAATACTTTGCTGTAACTTTCTCAAAATCCAAAGTTGACAAACTGGACCAACTAGCCTTTCATACAATGGACAACTCTGGTCAAATATCAGAGCATCAAATCAGATCACGAGAACTATAGAAAATAAATAGCAAAGGACTTTCCAAAATAAAATTCAGCTTTAAAATGTGAAACAAATGGATGCCATTTTGCCTAGCTAAATACATAGATAAAACTAGCTCCGAAATGGCCTTTAATCGACAATTGCGGAATAAAAATAAATATTTAAAAAAATAAAATAAAAATTATTTTTATTATAACAGATGGCTGTAGAAAAGCTAGAAAAGTTGCTTTTAAAAAAACAAAAAAACATTAAAATTCTGGTACAAGTAACAGAATGATTAGCTTTGATAGCCAGAATAGCTTTGTGGCTCAACTATACTGAAGCACATGTTTGTTAGTGTAGAATTAGACAAACCTTAGAACATCTGCCTGATCGCTTGTAAAGTGTACCTCAATAACCTTAGAAAAATATTTGACTTGGACGAGAAGAAACATCTACTCTCAGTCCATTTCCCTGTGGATTTGCATTAAACAAACAATAGACACTGGGCAGAAGTTGTAAACTGATAGGAGGCAGATATTAAACAGGGCTGTGGGTCAAAACCTCTGAGAGCAATAAACTGCTCAACGAAATTCAAAGTGATTATCTCAACAGAAAAAACGTCTAATCTCTATTAATAGTCCAATAAAGAACAAAAGGTACTGGATGTGGCAGATTGTACTTCCTGTCCAGGTGTGTCATTAAAACGGACACAGAGAAAAACAGGCACACGTTAAAGTCAGCATTTTAGTGTTGATTCAGTTCCGTCAGGTTCAAATAGACGTTTTTCATTAATGGAAAGTTCAAGGTATTTTAGGACCAACAGGTTATAAACCTATCAACACTACCTGTCACCATTTTTCATTCCAACGTATATTCCTTGTGACCATCATTTTAAGAATGGACAGCTAAAAAAAAGTGAACTCTGCAGTTCTGAGCAGCAGCAGGACAATCGCCCAACGATTGACTTTCCACTGAAACTGCAACATCAGGAAAATCAGACGGATGGGAGGCAGAGAGGGAGAAAGGGAGGAAGGGAGGCAGTGGAAAATGAAGTTTGTAATTTCTGCTTCACCCTCTGGTCCTCTCATGATATTGGTGGATTTACCGTAAGTATATACACACACACACGCAACACGTGTTATGTAAATGACTCCCACTGATACTAAATCTTTTACATTTTGCAGCGAATGACTAATATTTGTTAGAATATTTGTAGTCCTTGTGGAGATTAGTCTTTTACAGTACGAGATTAAAGGGGGATGACTGCATTAAACTGATCCATGATCACCTGGGGATTTACACCCAGGAAAGAGGAGACTTCTAGCCTCCTTTTCAGCACACCATGGCACTGCCAGGGCCAGGATTCAAACGGACAACTCTCCAAGTATATTCCTTGTCCTTTAACCACTAGGCCCCAGGCTTTCTCCGATTATTCTAGAGCTTTTAACTAGATTTTTTTTCTTGAATTATTTGTGTGTTTCTGGAGTAGATCTGGCATTTGTAATCCTTTTTAAAGCTGCTACCAGGAACCATTTAGGTGAAATTGTTTAAAGGATGTTTTAAAAATAACTTAGATAACGACTAAGATAAAAGAGGTCACAATCAAAGACAAGGAATCACACCCACAGGTCGATAACTAACACACCTCTGGAATGTGAGTGTATGTGTGTGTGTGCACGTGCAGACTGGCTGGAGTTTTATCTGTTTATGTCCGTCATTTCAGTGTTCATTCATTCATTATCTTCAACTGTTGGAGTCCCAGCACTTCCAGAGGACACTGAACAGTTTGCCTTAAAAGGAGGGATTCATCAGTACACAATGAATGTCAATGAGAGGCAGACAATTTTGAAGCCAGCCTCCACTGGCTAGTGACGGTACTGCACTTCTCCACAACAGTCGAACATACCAAATCCAGAAAAGGAAAATCTCCGAGTGGCTACAGAACTTAGACCCAGAGAGAACGTTCATATTCCACACATACAAATGTCCTGACAAAACAAATGTTAAAGGTTTATTTACACTTTTACATCAGACTATGATGTCAATTTGGAGCAGTACTGGCTGGATTTAAAGGGGAAAATATGATTTCATGAGCATCAAGGCGGTCTGAGTGAGTGAGTGTGTGTGTCTGTGTATGTGTGTTTGTGTGTCTGTGGCAGTTTAAACTGTTTGAAACAATGATGTGTTCTCTAAAGATAAAGATGGAAGATGCTGTGCAAACTGAGATCAAAACAACCCATGAAAACCTCAAGAGAGACTGAGGGCACGACACACACACACACACACACACACACATCATTGTACTGACGTGTTTACACAGTGTCACGACATGGGTCAGTATAGAAGTATGATTCAGATGTCCACATGGACTCACTCATGGTGCATTAGTGTGTGTGTGTGTGTGTGTGTGTGTGACTTGAGTGCAGGCTGCCAGTTAGAGTAAAGAGATCTGGCAGCAAATGTGTCTGCATTATGTTAGATAAGAAACGGTTGTTCCTATGTATGCATGCCCACAGGCGAACACACACACAGATGAACATTCACACACACACTCTCTCACACACAAATTACAAAGTGACAAAACAAAACATTTCCCCCTCTCTTTCCTCTTTTGAATTGCTCAAGTCGCCCCATGCAGAGCTGAAAAGCCACAGAATAATGAGTGGCTGAGCCACTTCATCACAGCCCTGGGCCTCCTCCGACAGAGCCACAGTCCACGACAAGTACAGAAGAAGAAGAAGAAGAAGAAGAAGAAGAGTGCACGTACAGGAGAGTAGCTTCATGCCGCCATAAAGGGAGGACATGATATATGGAGCTAAGAGGAAGACTCAGCATGGGAGGTGTCCACTGGGGGGCCTATCACCTTACATGTCCGACAGTTGGTTAAAGATATCAGTCTGCTCTCCCACAGGTACAATAAACAGTACCAGAGGCAGCCCAGGAACTTTCACGTGCTCAACATGCATTCATGATAACAATCACTATCAGCTTAATGTTTTTACACCTATAATAATATCATGACATCTAATGCACATGTTCAGATCTCCTTCCTTCTGACTGTGCTTCTCTCCTGCTACTGGACCGTTCTCCCACAGCTGAAGAAGTATTTATTCTCTGCATAACAGTGATATCTTGTTGGCAGAATATGCGACCGAGACGTTTGTCAGAATTGGTTTTTATTGGTAGATAGTGAGGATTTTGCAGCAAATGTCTTTTTGGCAGACACAGAGCAGAAGGTAAAAATGAAATGACTATCACTGCTCTTCTCCAGGACCAAGACTATGGAGCGGGACTATGACATTCGCTCAAGTGTCACAAGGGCAAATCATCTGCCTTCCTCTCTCCCCATATCTTCCAGCTTTGTCTCCATGTCCTCATCACTTCATCCGTAAATGTTCTCAGGGATTGTGTTTTCATTTTTACACACACCAGACTTCCCCTACATAGGTGTATTTGTATAGGTGTAGATTCCTTTGTTGACTTTCACACGCCTGGTTCCAGTTCAATATTACAAATTATTAATTACAAAATATTACTGATTAAAAATTACAACGGATACGTTTGCTACAGGCATGAGTTTAGTTTTAGTCATTTAGTTTATTGTCATCTCAATTATTTCTAAAGTAAAATAACATTTAAATAACAAAGTATTATTATTTTAGTCATTTGTCTAAGAAGTCTGACTCTGTGAACAGTGTGTCATCAACAAAGTATAATTTAATCTGATCTAATCTTATCTTTTGGAGACATGTTGACTTTGGTCTGAGCTCTTCCCACAGACACAGTGACATACATACATACCTGTGTGCACAGTGCGTCTCATAATCATAACCCAGTCATCACTGCTGCCACATCACAGTCTGCTGAGGAGAGGCAGTTTAGCTGAGTCTGCTGCTGTCACACCTGATAATGATGGAAAGATGACTGTACTGCCAACAGGGAACCTTGATGAGCAATGTCAATATCACAGTATTACAATTTTCTTGGTCATCTGGGAAATCATAAGGGAGCAGTCATGTCTGTTTGAGCTGTCTCACATCCATTGACCCAGTCATTCGTCTGTCCATCCACCCATCTGTCCACTTTGCACTTTTATATTGAGAAATACATGTTTTAGTACATACAAGTAACACGCCAAAAGACCAAGAGTTTCTTCAGTCAAATCCTATCAGTCAAAACTGTGGCCATGAACACAC